TTATATTATATTTTTAGAGTAATAAAGTTAATTATAATTTTATCATATACTTTTAGAGTAATAAAGTTAATTATAATTTTATATTATATTTTTAGTAATAAAACTAATTATAATTTTATAATATATTCTTTAATAATAATTATAAAATATTAACTTAATAATTTAAACTTTTCTTTATACAGTATAAGACAAAAGTATTCATACAGTAAATATTCAAAAAGAATAAGATCTGTATTTTCTATATTATTAATTGTAATACAAAATATGCATATATATATATATATATTATTAATATTATAAATTAATATAAATTAAGAGATAAATAATAATTTTAACGTAATTTAAGTATCCCACTCTTAAATTTCACTTTTACATTAACTTCCAACCCTCTCTCAACCCCTTCGCACATGCGTGTAGACACATATGTATATATTTATTTAGTAATTTACATGAAACCAACATTTATTCAAAGTTACACGGTCTGTAATTAACATGCTAATGAATCAACAGTCTAGTCACTTTGGATTACTATTTTCTGGCACGATTACTAAAGTCAAACCCACGTGGGCACGGTTTTAAAGTAACACATGGATGGGGGTGGCCCGTCGGAAGGAAACAAAAGACAAAAACCGTGTGTGTGTGTGTGTGTGTGTGGTACTGTTGACTTCAGAGAAGCGGATAAAGACACACACGACCTTTTCTGGGTTTTAGTTATATTGAATAAGTATGTGTGTGTGTGTATGCAAAAGTGTGTGTTAATAGAAAAGTGTTTTCTCGCACTGTAAAAGGGAAAGTAAAAAAAGATAAATTAACGTGATGAAAATGAATGAATATACAAATGTTTTTTTTTTTTTTTTTAACATTCTCAACCTTGACCATGAGGAGTATGAAAAAGTGTAACACACGCCCATTCCACCCCCACACTTGTCTACAATTATTTCTATTAGTTTTTCCATTTTGATTGTTTGAATTCTCCGAAAAAGGAGGTGTTTTTATACATGGGTATAAAAACACCCCCTCATTGTTGTTGGGTGTGTGCCATTTTAAAAGCAAATACGTGTTCGATCAAATGACGGGGAATCGAAATGGACGTTTTTTTTTTTTTTTGTTTTTGTTCTTTCCAAAGCTATTTCATTAATTGATAGCAACAATCGTACGAACTAATCGATTTACGTCAGTCCATCCGACGAGTATTCCCGTTAATTTAAATTTCCCCGGGATTCCTTTAATTTCCGATTCGCAAATAGAAGAAGAAGAAGAAGAAGAAGAAAAGAAAAAAAAGAAATAATATTTTTCTACATAATAAATCATCCCGAATTAATTTCGATGAATAATAATTTTTGTTCATTTTCCATTTCAAACAAAAAGAAAAAAAAAAGAAAATGGTTATCTCTTTTTTGAAATTAAGTTGATATTCAGAGTAAAGTGTTAATTAATTCGAATTTTATTTCAAATATTTTTAACAGAAATGAGAAACACGTACATACGTTACACCTTATCTTAATTAATCTGGTTTTTTTTCTTCTATACTCATTTAAAATACTCTTATCTCGTTTCTTTCAGTATTACGATTCATCGAATCGTCAGAGGTGTGTATATGTGTGTGTGTGTGTGTATATATATGGGTGGAGAATCCTACTTGTTGTTTAAATTAGCTGTGCTCACTCGAATTTACACGGGAAAAGCATTGCCAAGAATCGTTTCTCTCAACTCTGTAATTACCCTATCGTCTTTTCTTTTATTTATTTTTTTTTCTTGTATTTTTTCTTCTTTTATTCACTCATTACTACCATCTCACCTAACTTTACCCTTCATTAATTCACCAACGTATTTATTGTCTCTCTCTCTCTCTCTCTCTTTACCCCTTTTCTATTTCTCTCAATTTCATTGAAATAATAATAAATAATAATAATAATAATAATATTTGTCATAAATGAAAAAAAGTATTTATTACAGCAATTAGGTGAAAACACAATGAATTTATTTTCAATGAAATCTAACCTATTGATAAACGATACAGTTATCTATCGTCCAATAATAATATTTGTCTTTGAAAATTAAATTATTAAATATTTAATCGTTTAAATGACTTATTTGAAATATAATTATTTATATATATATATATATATATATATATATATATATATATATAAATCGTAATTATAAATGTTTATTTATGAGTAAAGCAATATCAAGGTTCTATTTTAATAAACATTATAATACTTGTTTTAATATAGATTTTATTATTGATGATAATTATTTGAAATCAAAGAGTGTTTCATTAATTAAATTAATATTTAACCATTACCACAATACACACAGACATACATTATAGGAGGACAAATTATTAAATTCCTGTAATTTGTAATAAATATCATGAAAACGTATTAAATGTACATTAATATAATTTTAAATAAAAGAAAATAATTTCTTCATTATTCAATGAGTTCAAATTGTATTCTATATTAAAATATTGGGATCTCTGGTAAGGGGCGTGGATTACTCTAGCGGCAAAAATATGAACTAGAGACTGGAGTATGCTGTACATTATTTGCATTAGTTATTTTCAATTTTACTTTCAATAATAAATAAGCAAGTCATTTAAAATTACAAATATAAGTATTTACACATAAATATCGTGTGTAGTTTAAATCAGTTTGTCAGTAAATCGTCCTAACTGTTCTAGTTCTGAATTTAGCCACCAGATAGAGTATTTCAAATGCTACAGATCCCAATATATTTTTGTTTTATTTTTGTAAGCATTCATTTGACAATTAACGATAAGAATAGGTAGATTTAATGTTAAATAAATAATGCATTTAATCATTGGTTAAAACCGCAATAAACTGTAAAGAGAGAGAGAGAGAGAGAGAGAGAGAGAGAGAGAGATAGAGAGAATAAATGACTGTTCGAATAAACAGAATGGTGTTGAAATTTAATGCAATAGAATAGGAAACGATGATGGTGGTAAAAAGCTAAAGGTAACACCTTACGATTAAATGCGCCTGCGTGTCGAGTTGTTTCGGGTGCACTGAGCTAAGAAAAATTTCATTAAACGAAAGGAGTATCTCGACATAGTGAAATCTCTCTTTCTCTCTTTCTCTTGTTCTCTTTTTTTTTTTTTCTTGTATTTTTTTCTCTAACATTCGTCGAAAATAAGGTGAATCGAAAGACACGATGTGATGTTTGTTGCTTAAACATAAATGTTTCTTTTTTATTGTTTTTTTTTCTTTTTTTTTTTTACAATTACTTTAACAGAAAATTTAATTCGGGATTTTTCTTTTCTGGAAAAAAAAAAAAAATAAAAAAGAAAGAAAAGAAAAGAAAAAAAGGTTACTGTTATTTTTCTACACTTTTTATAATTATATTTTTCGTTTTATTTCATAGTCCTAATTTTGGATCATTTATTTTTCATATAATTGATTTTTCATAAAAGATATATATATATATATATATATATATATATATATATATATGTAAGAAAATTGTACAGTTATATAAAGAAGAAAGAATTGGTAAATAAATCTTCCTAAGGCTTACCGAAAATCCGATTTAACCATCCATCCGCGGATTGAAAAGTTGGTGGTGTTGGGATAACCTAAAAGCAACGAGGGGTTACATTTCAAAATCCATGAATTGCATTGAATTCCATGATAAACGTTGTTTTACAAATCAAGTGATTGAAGATTTTCACGATATATATTAAAGCGTATTTTTACTTTATTATTATTATTATTATTATTATTATTATATACACGCGAACGAAACAACCTCGATCGTTTTTCTCACGAACGTCGAAGAACTTCAAGAGAGAAAGGGTAAGCATTAGAAAGGGAGAGAAAAAGAGAGAAAGAGAGAGAAAGAGAAAAAAAAACACGAGAAGAGTGTAACCGTGACCTCTTAGCAACCCAAGTTCATACCTTGACTCTAGAATTTTTTTTTTCAATGACTTCACTAACCAGACGAGAACCGAGTTTATAGAAAGACAGGTTTTTTCTTTTTTTTTTTTCTAATTTTGTACAATTTTAGGAATTCATAAAAATCCATATATTGTTTAAACAATAAGATTCAATAATTAATGAATTTTATTGGTGGTAAAATGTTGAAATGAGTTATTCAACAGATCATTGAAGTTAACTTACAAATAAGTTAGTGATTTTTTTACAAAAAAAAAAGAAAAAGAAAAACAAGGAAAAAGGTGAAGGGGTTTGTTCAGAGAGTGGGGTGAAACCGAAAAAAAAAAAAAGAAGGAAACCTCTCTTCATCGTTGCTTTTATCTCAATATTTTTCCTTGATAAATTTCATGCCGTGTGTGTACACGAATAGAAAGAGTAAAGAGGGGGAAAAAGGAAAAAAAAAACATTAAAAAATGGGAATTTTCTTGAAGGAAAATACAAAAAAAAAATGAAAGAAAAAAAAGGGAATAGATAAAGGTTTCCTGTTTCCTTCCACGTTCATTTCTACGTTTCTCGCGTTTATTTTGCCGCGAGCTTTTAGCAGCCAGAATAAGAAATAGAAAAAAAAAAAAAGAAAAAAAGAAGAAAAATAAGAAAAAGAAAAAAAACAAAACAAAAAAAATATTCTTACGCAGCGCGAATGATTCTTTTTACAGCGGTTACAGCAAATGAAGTAGCTGCATGTTGCCATTCCTATCTTCTATCACTGTCGGATGTAACCGGTGGCTACTAAAAAGAAAAAAAAAAAGGAAAAAAAATTACAGAAATAGAAAGAGAGAAAGAGATGGTAAGAAAAAAGTCAGAGATAGATAGTTTTCCTACTTTGAAAGAATCCTTCTTTTTCTTTTTATTCTTTTTCTCTTTTATATTTCAAACTTCTTCAAAAAATTCGAATATTTCGTTCACGGTTTTGTTAAAAATATTTTTAATCTCACTTTCTCTCTTCGTTCGAATTAATTACATTACGTTTTTGTTTTTTTTTTTTTTTGTAATGACATTAATCATAAATTTTTAATTAAAAAATACTATAGGTAATATAATTTTACCTTTGTTTTTGACCTTGCAATATTATATATATAATATTTAATTAAATAATATATTTTATATATGTAATATACAAAGTATATAAATGGTATGTATATTTCTCTAGATATATATGATATTATATAAAATAAACGATAAATAGATAAATAGATAAAGGGATAATATATAAGCAAACAGCTTAGCTTCCATCATGTTAGGAACGTAGGAGTATCTTTCAAGAATGTCGTTCATGAAACGTTGAATTTTGACCTGAATAACTGAGCCAAGTCGAAATGGTTCGAATAGGTCTCTAATTGTAAGCTTGATGATGCCAAAAGTCTTATCCCTAATAATAATAATAATTATAATAATCATTATCATCATCATCATCATCCTCAAACACATGACAAAATATATTAAACAATATTGCACATGTTACAAATATTGCTATAAAATTTTGAATTATAATTTGACAAAAAAAAAACTTCTTGTGTGCTTTGTTCTATACTGCATTAATATTTTAATAGGAATATGTTAAATTTGTTATAAACATATATTTTAAACGTATTAAATAAATATTTTTAATGGTACACGTTGCACGGAACGTGTTAAATAAAAATTTGTGTAATATTAAATGTCATTAAATAAATATTAAATTATAAGTATAAATTTGAAAGTATTAAGTTATAAAAATTATTTTATCGAATAGTTTGCAATCGATAGAATGAGGAAAAAAAAAGAGAGAGAGAAAGAAGAAAAAAAATAAATAAAATTTGCTAGAAACTTTGTAGGACATTACGTTGATAATAAATGACTATGACAATCGCAACGATTCGATACGCGTCGAGTGCACGAGCTTAAGCTCGTTTACTAGGCATTTTACGAGATGGCCCTTTTTGCCCTCTTACTCTCTCTCTCTCCTTTTTGCAAGAGATAGCTTTAACAATTTCTAGGATGCTTTCTCAATTTCTACGAACTCTCTGGATTCCTCTTTAAAACTGGTAATATCAAAGCACGTCTATACACGTTCTTCGTTTACATAACTTCCTTGATGCTATCATTTCATACACTAAGATTGCTCGTTTAAACTATACAAATAAATATACATACATATACAATATATTTATACCTATTAATCATATAAATATATGTAAGTATAAAAATAGAAAATAATATATAAACATTTAATACCATAATATTAAATAAAATATTAAATATAAATATAATATATTTAATATTATATTTTATTAAAAATATAAATATAATATTATATTTAATATATTATACTATTAAATTAAATATATTAAATATATAAAATATTAAAATAGTAAATATAAATATATTTAAATTAATTTATATCATTATTTATTAATGTGTATTATTATATATTATATATGTTTTTTAATATATTATTATATATAAAAAATATTAAAATAAAATATATTACATAAATAGGATACACTGGACACGTGTTGCTGTAAAATTTTTTCTTATCATTCAACAATTATTTAATATGTTATTTCATCTATTTATTTTGCATTCCTATTTTTTTTCTTTTCTATCTTTTTCTCTTCATGAAATTAATACATTTTGAATAGTATTTTCCTGTCTCTCTTTTCTCTATCCTATGTTTTCGTGTTCTTTCATCATTTTATTCTTCTTTCTTTTTCTTTTTTTTCTCTTTTCTTTTTGTTTTTTTTTTGTTTTCCTCGTGAAAGTAATACTTTTTGAAAAAAAAAAGAGAAAAAAAAGAAAAAGAAAATTCTTTCTCTCTTCTCTCTATCGTGTTTTTAATTAATTTCTTTTGTTGTTTTTACCATTCGTGACGTTTTTTCCATCACGTTTTTCTATAGAAAATTTTTCTCTCTTTTTTGTTTTCCCCCAGTGATAGAACTAGACCACTAGAGTAGCTAAATTCAGTAGTTCGACCAGTTGAGAAAGGTTAGTAAACCAAATTTAAAGGGATTTAGGTAAAAGGCTAATAAGACCCATTTTCCAGTAGTTAAAACAAGTAATCAGGGAGACAAAATTGTAGTTGTTAAGGTAAAGGGTACTACGTAACAAGACTACAACTCTCTCATTCAACAATTCTCATTTAACACTAAACTTATACAACGTCAGATCAAATTACCATGTCTTGTAATTTGTAAAAATGTGAATAATTGATAAAAAATCCTGTATAATTTGTAAAAAAATGCGATAATTCATCAAAAATTCTTGTCATTTGTAAAAGAACAAAAAACAAAAAAAGAAGTTGAAAATGCTAATTAATATCTACTTGGTCGTGGACAAAAAAAAACAGAAAATTCAATTAAATGTAAAATAAATGAAACAATTTGAACAAACTGATACTAACAAATATTTCACGTGTAATAAAAAAAAAAAAGAGAAAAAAAACATAACAAATATCGAAAGGAAGCCTTTCAGAGTCAAAGAAAAACGTAGTAGATAAAAGTTATTCGCTAATGAAATTTGAAAAATGAAATATACGTTTTGTTTTGCCGAGGTATTTTTTAATTAATTGTACAACACGATGTAGGAATTTTTTTTTTTTTTAAAACAACACAAAGAATTTTCTTTCATTGTTCTCCGATAAAGACGATGATGCGAGATTATTGAATAATATTTTTTTCTTTTCTTTTTCTTTTCTTTTTTTTTCAATAGAAGAAGAAAGAAATTCTTTTTTTTTTTTCTAAAATAACGCGAGAGAAATATTTAATATATTTTTTGATATGCTTTTTCACTTTGGCAAAATGTGAAGAACACATCATCGAGTTCTATCGATGTTGGTCCTTCGAGACTTTTTCTATTTTTTTTTTTTTTTCAACCAAACTTCTTCTTCTTTTTCTTTTTTCTTCTTCTCTTCTCAACTATCTGTACGAAACTTTATTCCCATAAAACCATAAAACTATATGAGATAGTTATTATTCCATCCTTTTTCATATATATGTATATATCATCTTTCTTCTTCTTCTTCTTTTTTTTTTCTTTTTCTTTTTCCCATGTGTCGGATTTTCTCTACCATAACTTGTGCAAGTTTAAACTAAATTCTTCTATGATTCTTTTACATTTTTATAAACTAACTAAAATATAACACAAATATAATAGCACATCCTAGTTATAAAATACAATTAAACCTTTGTTTTGCAATTTTGTCAAATGCACGTAACTTTATATGAATTAGGTTTGTATTTCCATAAAAAAAAAAAAAAAAAATTAAATAGAAATTAATTTGTAAAATTAGGAGAAAATTTTCATAATATAATATAATTTGAATAATTGCATAACAAATAATTGTTTGATGGAAAACAATGACATATCGAGAATAGAATTGGACCAATAGGAAGCTGTTTGAAGATCCTGGCTGCACGGTGAAGATAACGTTATTATAGCATTCAAAGTGAATCCCCATTGGTGTAGAAATGTGTTGTTGAGAGTATTTACTGAGGATCAGGACGAATACGATGATCGTGTTTTTTAAATGACAATACAACAAATGCATTTTAGAAATGTAGAACAAATGATAGAAACGATAAAACAATAATCTTTTTTTTATTAATTTGTATTATCAATGTTGATATCATTTTTAATTTTTTTTTAATCATAATTTAATGAAATTAATATATCGTCATTTGATATGATTGAATATAATGGAATATCTTGGTTATGGGAATATCAATCAAATGAATTCATTGAATATTAAACATCTTCTATATTGTAATAGATATTAAATTAATCACAATTATATATAATAATAATTAACTTGTTATGTGATATTTAATTATTTATTTCATTTTATTATTTCATATTGAAACTCTCGACATATATATTATTTTTAAATTAATATTTTAAATATATATATATATATGTATATACATTATTAATATTAATACTTTAAATATACTACTATTATATTTAATTACTAATATATTTAATTTATATAATATAAAGTAATAATAATATTAATAAAATTTAAATTAATTTTAAGTATTAATTTATATATTTATATAAAATATTAATATTAATAATTATATAAAAAAAAATATTATACACACGTATGCATTATATTAATATTATAATATAATAAATTAATATTTGCATTTGTGTTTTTATAACAAACAAACAAACAAACAAAATTTGTAAAAATAATTATGAAAATATTAAGAAACAGTAAAACACATACACAAAGAATATAGAAAAATGTGTTAGATAAAATTGTTAAAATTTAAATCGACCATATAAAAATATCTTCAAAGTATTTTCCTGAGAGGTAAAAATTGTTCGTTCGAGGATTTTAAAATTCGAACCATTCAAGAAGACGATTTAACACGATAAATTTCAAGGAAAAACGCAGCCATACGTGAGCGTGATTGCTACGAAAACGAATCGTGAAAAATAAGCCGAATCTTTCCTTTCTCTCAAATCTTTCTTTTTCTTTTTCTTTTTGCTTTCTTCTTTTCTTTCTTTTCTTTTTTTTGTCTTCTTCTTCTTCTTCTTCGTCTATGTAGAGGAACAAAAATTTCTCGACTTTCATTGAGAGTCGATCGAGTGCGGATTGTCTGATAAAACTTTCTCCCATCCACCATGTTTTTGTTTTTTTTTTTTTGGTTTCTTTCTCATTGTACATAAAAACACAATTCTTCCTTCCTCTACCATACCATAATGTAATTTTTAATAATAATTATTTATTATTTATTAATTATTCA